TGGAAAGTATCCTAAACCATTTACRAATTGGTTTCCTAAACCATTTACAAGTTGATTTCTTGCAGGAGCTAACCTGAGTGTTTCTATTGCTCCAACAGCTGCAACCTTTGCCATGTAGGGGCTGCAAGGAGCAGCTGCCAAGGTCCCTGGGCAGCACCATAATATCACCTCATAAGGATTAATCCTGCCAGGGACCCATCCTGCCTCAGAGACAGCTGCTCTCCTTCCAGTGTGCAAGAGCATCATGAAACACAGTGAGAGGAAACGCTCAGTTCAGGGTAAACTGGGCATTGGACTAAATGGCCTTTAAAGGTTCCTTCCAACCTAAGTTATTCTGTGATTCTRTGAAATTAAACTACACAAATCCTGTAATATTTAAAACATYCAGAAGCCTTGCCAAGCACATTCCTCACCAAGCTGTTGCAAAAACATGGCTGGTCTTGAAGCTGGTAAAGCCAAGGAGGGGGGAAGTCTTCTCCCAAAGCCTAAGCTGAGTAAGGCTGTGTGTCTGTCTTACCACAAACTGGGTTTCCCGGGGGTCTGAGAGTGCAGTGGGTACAGCTGATCTGGCAGCAGCTGCTACAGATTTGTGTGCAATTGCACATTCATGCCCAATTTTAACGCTGTGCACGGGGGCCTGACCTGTCCTTTGTGTGTGGGGAGGGCACGGGCACAGCAGAGACAGTCCCTGCAGCACAATGTGTGCTGCTCCCAGCTGAGGATCCCACCTCTCAGATCCCCTCCTCACACCACCACACGCAGGGTGACAGCAGGCACGGAAGGCTGTCCTGCAGGATGCACATTTCCAGGCTGTGAGCAGAATATTTATGGTAATTCGGGGCATATTTTCTTAGTCACTTCATCCTCTGAGCGCAGAAGAATAGCTGTTGGATTGTATCACAGCCAGGCACCATGTCTGGAGCCTGGTTTGGCCCTGCCTGGGGTGATTAGTAGGGACTGCTGCTCCTCTACAGCCCTTTCCCTTCTGCTGGACTGGTGCAGGAGAAGCAGCCTTGAGCTAGAATCCCCCACACTCAGGCAGACTTTGTCCAACACTGCAGGACTAGTGGCTCTCTGCTCTGATGCCGAGTGCCCAAAAGGGTTCTGTGGTTTGTGAGGCCCAGAGGCCTCACCTGCACCCCARGGACCAGAGCCCCTCCTGGACTGAACTGCTCACAGATTATCTTTATTACAGGACTGTTATGTTTGCACAGTTTAGTGATTTAATATCAGTTTAAAGCCTTCTCTGAGAGCAGTGCTGTTTGAAGTCATGCTCTCGCTTTTCAGCCTCAGCTTGCCAAGACTGTAAAACGTTTATTGCTAATGGTGGAAAAGCTTAAAGAAGCCAAGATAACTTTCCCAGGCTGGGTATTAAGGCTGGGATCGGGTAAGTAAATAAGTGAAGAGTATTACATGGACTTCATTAAATATCAACCAACACCAACAGCCACTCATTTATAACACAACGGCAGARCATGGGAGCACCCAGCAGCAGAGCTGAGAAAGGTATGAATCACATGTGATAGGAGAGACGAACATGAGAAGGGCTGGACTCCCCATGGGGCTCCAGGTGTGGCTCCCAAGGTCACAACACAAATCTTGATGAAAACTCTTGCAGAGACTGTAGGTTTGGGTCTGATGGAGTTGCAGAGTTGGTGTGGTTTGTCTCCTCTCGTCTGGGGAGGTTTGTGGGCATGTGGTGCTGCATGTCCTTCTCCCTTCTGATGCAGTGGATGAGGACAAAACTSTCCATCCTAGGAAAGAGAATTTAAATTCAGGCTATAGCTACCACCGCTCCTGGACTGTCAGTTCCTGGATGTTTGTTTTCAGYTTTTAGCTTTTACTTCCTTATAGACAGGTTCTGCCTTTACTGGTTCCAARTCACAAGATGCCAGCACCAGGAAGAGTAAATTACAGAAGCTCTTGCTACAGTTCCTGTGATTCCCTGTGCCAATATTTTCAAGCTTCCCCAACAATTTGGCTTGATGCTTGAAACCCCTCACTTCCATTTGCCACCCACTGTTCTCCCTGAGTTCAACATTCCCCAAATAAGAAAAACTGAGGTAAGGTAGTCACTTCATTTGGGTGCCATCCCCATCCCCAGATTATATTTCACTTCCAGCCCTTCCTCATTATGCAGTATCCTCACTTCTACTTTCCTTTATCATTCTCTCTCACCTGCCTAAGGCTTTTGCTCTTACTTTAATTTCATTTTTCCTATCTCTCAATTGATTGCTACTGATTCTCCCTTATTTCTTTATTTCTTGTACCCTAAAACAGCTTCATTCAYGTCACTCCTTTCAAACATCTTTGCTCACTCCCAACATCCTGTTGCAGCTGCCATTAACCAGTCAGGACTGGAATTGTCACCTCCCTGCGAAATTTTCCTCCCTTGTTTGAGAGGTGCAAATTCCAAGCAGATTTTGCAACCTTTAGCATAAATTCCTGTTTGCAGCTCCAGTATTCCCCAGCTCTTTGGTGTTTTGAAGCCTTTTGTCAGATCAGCAATTAGCTGGATCAAGTGATCCGGGAAACTCTCTCATCTCTTCAGCTGTGAGGCCACAGATCCATCTCCACAGCATACACCTCCCTCTTTCCAAGCTGTGTCTGTAGCTGCCAGATTCAGGCATTTGTTTCCATTTATTTCCCACCGAGCTGCTTCTGTCACACTTGTGCTGAAGGTCTCTGTGCCCAGGAGCTGTATGATTGGAAACGGGAGCAGTGCAAAAACTCTTGTCCTCCTGAGGTCCCTTCCAACCACTGAGCAACATCCCAAACAGGTCCAGTTCACACAGCTCYAAACTGGACCCAGCTTCAGGCACCAGCTTGCCAGGCTGCAGCCAGGTCTGGGCTTGACCATCAGCCCAGGCTGGAATGAATGAATTCCCCTTCCCTGGAATACCTCTCTGCAGGTGAATGCTTGTGACACGCTCAGTTTGTTTCCATGCTGGCACAGCTCTACCCAGGGACGGTGTCAGTGAAATATTTTTTACTTTGGAAGGGTGAACCCTTGGCAGACAAATCAGAGCTGAATCTCGGCTGCTGCAGAAGGGCCTTGATTCCCACTGCGGGCTCCTGGGATTCCCACCCTTTGTCCAGCTATCCTTGACTCCCTCTCCTGGCTGAAAACACGGGTTACAGCCGAGGGAGAGGAGCAGAAACCAGGGCACTCTAGGAGCAGTCCCTGGCAGGATGCTGAGACATTTGCAATTTAACTCTGCGTCCCTTGATCCCTGGGTGCAAACAGGGCATTTTGCCCTCCCCAGCATTCCCCGCTGAACCCTTTTTAATGCAGCAAACCAGCGGGTGACTATCTCTTTTATTACAAATTCCACTCAGGGTATCACCACCCGACCTCCTGTGGTATAACGTGTTTTTCTCTCCTGTCAAAAACCGAACCAAAGCCAAACACCCCCCAAAATCTCCCTTTATTAACATCTAGCCCTTCAGCTGTCATTTAAATCCAGGATACAGCCGGCACATCTCTCGGACTCTGCTTCCATCCTGCTGTGCYTACCTGGACCGTGCTTTTAGGGTGYCCCAGCTCTKCTCAGGCAATCCCACATCARCTCGGGCTGGCAGRGAGAGGCTCAGGGCCCGCAGATGGAGCTGTGGCCCCGCTCTCGGCTGCTCTTCTCCGCTGTTTGGGGCGCTGCTGTCTCACAGGTACCGGCTTGGCCGCAATGGGGGGACAAATGCCCTGCTCTGGTTTGGAGAGGCCCTGGGATGTATAAATATATACATTTATATAAATATATACATTTATATACATATATACATGTACACATATATATATATATATATGCATGTATGCATACACATAAAATATTATTTTTATATGAATGTATTTATATATAGTAATATGTGATTATATATTATAAATAGTATGTAATCCAGGTATTATATAGATTATATGCGTAAATATATGTGCTGCATATGTGTGAATATGTGCTGTATGTTATATCACTGCATACATTTCATAGCAACATTATATATGGTATATGCACATAATGTACATACATGCACATACAATATATACATAATAATAAAGGTATTTTATATGCAATATATTCTATATATAAAAAGGTTGAGGTTTTTCAGTTTTTTGTGATTGTTTCTTGGTTTAGATGGATTTTTGTTTTTGGTGGGTTTTTGTGTTTGTTTTTGGTCGTTTTTTTGTTGTTGTTATGGGGCTTTTGTGGATTTTTTTGGGGGGGGTTGGTTTTTGCTCGTAGTAATTGTTGGGGTTATTTTAATGTATGCATACGTAAAACTTCTGCCCTTGCGGCTTAGGGCTGGAGGCAGCGCTTGCCGTTGCCACTGACGGTGAGGTGGAGCTGAAGGACAGATGTGCCCCCCAGGCAGCAGCCCCGGGGCTCGCTCCGGCTGCAAGGGGACATTTCAGAGGTGCAGGAACCCCTTRTTTTGGGCGCAAGGCCGAAACACGGCGGCGCTGACCCCGCCAAGGGCCGCTCCCGAGGGCCGCGGGCCCCACTCCGGTTCCATCCCCACATCGCCCCGGGGCCATCCTCTACACCGCCCCGGTTCCATCCCCACATCGCCCCGGGGCCATCCTCTACACCGCCCCGGTTCCATCCCCACATCGCCCCGGGGCCATCCTCTACACCGTCTCGGAGCCGTCCCCACACCGCCCCGGCGCCGTCCCCACGGGGCCATGCCGACACCGCCCCGGGGCCATCCTCTACACCGCCCCGGTGCCAACCCGATGCCATCCCCACACCGCCCCGGCGCCCTCCCCACACCGCCCCGGGGCCATCCCGATGCCATCCCCACACCGCCCCGGTTCCCTCCCCACACCGCCCCGGGGCCATCCCGATGCCATCCCCACACCGCCCCGCTGCCATCGCGCAGGCGCACCGGGCCCGTCATTTCCGGGCGGCCGGGGCCGTTCCGGGGCGGCGGGGCCGGGACGCGGCTGCTCCGGGAGCTCCGGTACGGGGGCGCTGCGGGCCCGGGGGCTGAGGGAGCCGGTGCTGGGCTGGGCTGAGGGGCTGGGCGGGCTCTGGGTGGTGCCGCAGCCTCCTCGGCCCTGTGCGGGGGCAGACGCTGGGTGCTGCCCAGCCGGGCTGTRAGCGGGTGGAACGCGTCCCTGTGAGCGCTCCCGGGGCCGTGCCGRGCTGTCCGGGGAAGGTGAGGGGGGAGCGAGGCGCTGAGAGCTCTGCCGGTSCTGGAGGAAGGTGCGTACCTGGGATAAGTGTCCCTGTGGCAGGCGGTTCCGTGTGACAGCGAGGAGCGGTGTGATGTGCTGTGGGTGACTCTGAATGCGAGCAGCTCGGTGAAATAAAGCCATTTTCCCTGCCAGGTCCGGCTACAGGAATTATATTGTAATTTTGTATTTTTTTGCTCATGTTTGTCCACTTATGAGTGAATTTGGAAATTCAGTTCGGGTCAGAAATACTTGCATYACACTGAGAACTAAAAACTAGATTAAGCCAGCCTCAATACCCATACAGTGCTGGCATAAGAATCTGCAGTTTTCTTATGTGTTCGTACAGTCTGTGCACTGCAGTTATTTCTTATATTCCCAAGTACTGCTTTTCCTGAATTGCTCAAAACATTCACCTGGGCAGAGGTGCTGGTAAGTGCATGTGTTTGCCAGAGAAGTTAAGGAAAACTCCTGGGCTTAGCTGGGAGAGCTTCTCAGAAGAGACTGTAGTTTGAACAAAYGTGAGAATCCTGCCAAACTGCCATATTTGCTTTGCTTTAATTTCCARCTGGACATGGGAAATAAATGCTGAGGCAAATTAAATTCTGTGTTTTGCAATGAAGCTGTGTGATTTTGTATTTTTAATTCTATTTATTTGGTTAGGTTTCATTCAAGCCAGCTTTCTACCTGTCAGGCAGGATAATGAGATTAGAGAAACTTGCACTTTCTAATCCTGGTAGTACAATTAAAATGACAGAACTGTGTGTCTTGATTGTAGTGCTGGTTCTTGGAAAGGCAGTGTCTTTATTTAGGAAACAGAGGGATACAGAACATAATAAATAAGTAAATAATTGATGTGGTTGTGAGTCTGTGGGTTTGTTTATCACRTACAGCACTTGTTTTTTGACAGATTCCTGCTGCATTATGTCAGGAGACAGCGACTGCACCAGGACAAGTCCATCAGCGGGGTCTCCATCAGACAATGAGCTCCTGCCAGACCGGCCAAAGTAYGTTTGTTCCCTGTCCCCTGATCTCGTTACCAAAGCCCGGGAGGAGCTTCAGGAGAAGCCTGAATGGAGGCTCCGTGATGTGCAGGCCCTCCGGGATATGGTGTGCAAGGACTATCCCTCCCTGGGGACGTGCCTGGACGATGCTTTTTTGCTGAGGTTCCTCCGAGCCAGGAAGTTCGATTACGATCGAGCACTTCAGCTCCTGGTGAATTACCACACCTGCAGGAGGACCTGGCCAGAGGTGTTCAGTAACCTGAAGCCCTCTGCAATAAAGCCTGTCCTGGAGTCAGGCTTTGTCACTGTGCTGCCTCACCGGGACCCGCAGGGACGCCACGTCGTCTGCATCCGCCCAGGTACTCAGTCCTGAATGTCTCTGTTCCCCATCCTCGAGGTGTGTGTGGGCCAAGTGTTCTCTGCTCTCCTCTGAACACTGGTGACTTGCACAGAGTATGAGAGCTCTCTCAAATTTGAAAAGCCTGCTGGGGAAGGGATTTTGCTGGTCCTTTGCCAACGTTATTCCAGTCCCTTTGCTTCTGTCAGCAGTGAGTGCAGTCATGTCAAAATGAAAATGCAGTGAGGTGGGTCAGTGAAATATTAGGCAATTCAAGAGAAAGTAGTATGTAGTAGCTCAAGTTGAAACAGGGCTGCTGGCCTACTGTTAGAAGCTTGTAATTTGYTGTTGCAATAAGCAGAGAGAGGAGCCTATAGCTCTGACTCCTGTGTTGATAATCAGTCTCATGTGCTTTTGGTGWTGCCAGGCTTGCTGTAAATTTGTCTTCACTCATTCTCCTCTTTTCCATTTACCTGCCTTCTTTCTGAGCTGAAACTGCTTCTAATGAGCTGTGCTGGGTGGASAACAGGTTTCATAAACCATTGCCTTTGCTCCCTGAACTAAACATGAGTTGCCATTTACCTCTTGCTTAAGAAAGGGTGCTCTGACCTAGAACTGTGGCTATTAAAGACTAACTTTTAAGAGTCTAGGAAAACAGAAATCAGTTTTTTGGAATGTGTATTGTTAGCTTATCTTTACTCTCCRACTTACCATCCCTGTCTTGTAACCTYAGACAGATGGACACCCAGTAATTAYCCGATTACTGAGAACATTCGTGCCATATACTTAACCTTAGAAAAACTCATTCAGTCCGAAGAGACCCAGGTGAATGGAATTGTAATCCTGGCAGACTACAAAGGAGTCAGCTTATCTAAGGCGTCCCATTTTGGTCCTTTTGTAGCCAAAAAAGTGATTGGAATTCTTCAGGTAAGACCTGAACTGGTGGGAAAATAAGTTTGTGCATTGTAAATAACTGCTTCTGTGTGTAGACTTCTTGACTATGTCACCCCCCACAAACTTCATTATCTTGGCTTTCTTTCTTAGCAGAGTTAAACATGTCTCTGCCTAACCAGTTTCTCACACCCTTACCTCACTTGCCCCTTTTTTGCCTTTTGCATCCCTAAACTACATTTGCATTAGAAATGCATACTTTGAGTTGGAACAGACAGTCCTGTTAGGTAGTGGTAAGGAGGAAAGAGAGCAGAGAATTACAATTAGAGAGGAGACAGTGAGGAAATGGCCTAGTATTTAAATGGTTCCTGTCGGCTGAGATGGAGCCAACATGGGGTAAGTGCAGGTTCCAGTTCAAGYGCTGCTGCAAAAATTTTAAGAGGGTTTTTGAATGGGTGTGATTTGAGGGCAATTTCCATCCGTGCCCTGAAGGCAGAGGCTTCTTTAGCACAGGGGCACCAAAAGAGACACTAATAAAAGACATCTCTGCCTGGATGTCTGGAAGTGAAGGGGTGGAGAGGAAGGGTTTTAACACAGTGAAGTGGGACAAAATGGGAAGGGGAAAGGACTGAGGAGAAGCCTGGCCAAAGTGGCAGGAAGGTCTAATAATTTCACTTGATGTTGATACAGGCTGAAAGAGTGATAGGAGAAAACTTCTCTTGAATGGGTTCWTTCATTASTTTTGTTCTGGCCTGAGCTGGTTAYGTTCTTTGTTGTATCCATGGGGGGATCAGGAAAGACAGGGTGAATTAGGGAGAAGGGAGTGGTGACTTAAGGAATGCCTTTATCAGAACACACTCTTTTACATTATGATCTAAATGTGTCATTTAACTGTAAGCCCATATTTAATTTGTACAAATAGAGCCATGGGTGTCCTGCTGTTCCTGCTGAAAGCTATTGACAAAACAATAGCTGAACTTGGGGAAGGGCATAAAGGTATGGRTGGTATATAAATGTGTTGCATCAGCCTTGCTGAGCTGCAGCTCCTGTGAGATGAGCTAATTCATTGATGTTCCTATGGAGAAAAATACTTCAGCAGTGCCTGTTGTTTGCTTTTCACTCCAAGCATTGACTGCTTGATTTCTATATGTAGAGCTGGTTATAGGGGAAAGAAACTTCAAATGGCACTTGTGACCTTTATTGCTGATCATGAGCTTTTGCCTTTGAAAAATATTTCTGCAAATAAATTTCTCCAGCAGAAATCCCATAAYTAATTGTTGTTGTAAACTGTCCTGTATGGGAAACAGTGTGTCCTAGTGATATTAGATTCCTTCTTTACATAGGAACACATTTTAGAGTATCTTGGACACTAAATCTTGTTGCTGGACACACTGTTAGAAGCATCCTGCTCTGAATGTGRTGCACTCTTCAGGTGCTGCAGACATCACTTTGTGACTGCATCCTTATTAGGGCTGGGAACACCAAAGGACAGGGATTATCTAAATGTCTTTGTAAGGGGAGATCAACATCAACATTAGAAATGAGGATTTACTGACAGCAGTGTATTTGATGGAGGGTTTTCTGGTCCCTTCACTTTGTTTTTATGCTCATAGATCTCATCCTAGGTCTGCTCTCTATAAAGAATTGCATTTYTCTTCTTGTAGTGGTTTATGTTGGTAATTCAGGTTAAAGCTGGGGAGGCAGTGGGTTGTGCTGGCAGTCAGTCTCAGGAAATTTTAAAAAGAGAAAGATCGCAAATGTTTTTTAAACTGCATTATAAAAATCTTCTTTATCCTTTAGGATGGATTCCCCATTCGAATAAAGGCTGTTAACATAATAAATGAGCCTCGTATATTCAAAGGCATTTTTGCAATCATCAAGCCTTTTCTGAAGGAGAAGATCGCAAACAGGGTAAGGATTTATGTGATTTTAACATTAATGTTTTTAAGTTCGTTGCTTGGACACTCTAAATTTAAAAAAAAAAAAAAGAAAAGAAAAGTTATAATACTTGACAGCTAGAAAAATTTTGGTGTCATTTTACTTTCTCCTTTAATTTTTAAAAATATGCCTGTTGGGAAAATTCTCTGTAAGACAGAAACGCTGAGGAACTCATCACTGGCATAGTATTAATATGGAACTTTAGTACATTTGCCCTGTATCCGGGACATTAATTGCATCCCTGTGGTTCACTTATTTGGGCCAGTAACACTTTGTTTATGTGTGGTGAGGTGGTATCACAGGAGAACTGCTCCCCCTTCCTTGCTCTTTTCTCACAAGTGTCCTTGCCACAGAACTGTGGTTGCCAAGATGTTTTTTTTTCCACAAGGATAAGTACTTTAAATCCCATGAACTTGGGGACGAACTGAATTTGGAACCTCAGCCCAGGCCCATGTCCAGTCTCTCATTCTGGGATTTAATCTGCATTAGATGTGGATTCTCTCAAGACCTCTCTCACTGCTGTGTCTGACTGTACCTCCCCAGTTTTGTGCTGCCATGTGCCTGTAAACACATCACTCCAAAAATTTGTTCTTTAGCTCAAAACAAGCTTGTTAGCTGACTGTTCCAGCAATTTGCTGTGAAGTGTTTGATGTGCACTTCCAAAGCTCTTTTGCTTTCTTCTTCAGTTTTTTCTTCATGGCTGTGATCTGAATTCCCTTCACCAAAACATTCCTCCAGTGATCCTTCCTGAAGAGTACGGTGGTACTGCAGGGAAGCTGGACATCTCTGCCTGGAATGAGCTGYTGCTGGCCTCTGAAGAGGATTTCCTGCACGATTTCTCAGAGCTGGTGCTCCCGTGTGACAGCTCTCCCCACGACCTGCTAGTGAGTGGGGATGCTGATGAAAAGCAGTGTGATGATTCCCTTCGAGGGATGAAACCTCAGCTCTATTACTGTTACTAATAGTGGAGGGAAGTTTTCCAGCACAGTTAGGATCTGCTCTGATAGGTGATGTTGTGAACTCTGCCTTACTCCTAAACCTGCAGTTTAGGGACTGACTGCTGAGGCACTTTACACTGTAGAACCAAAGGAAGCTGGAGAGGGCACAATGGGGGCAGGGCAGAGTTCGGGGAGGGTAAAAGCAGAGAGCACAAGTTTTGTGTAGAAGACTTGAGGCTCATCAACCTCTGTGTGAATGATGCAAATTGTCCTATTCTTTCTCATGACAAAGGGAAACAAATATTGCAGATATGTAAGCTTGACAGTTTCTTGTCCCCACCCCACACAGGTGAAAAATGAGGATGATTTACGAGCTTTGTGATAATCTGGTCCCTTCCCCTTCTGCAAACACCAGTAACCCAAGACAAGAAAATGGCTTTTGAACCCTGGAAAATRCAATTCTCTAGTGAAGATTGCTTAAAACCATTAGTCTAATTTGGCTGGTCCTCTGTCACATGGTTCAGATTGTGAGTTGGCATTTCCGAAATAGTTCAGTGAATATTTGTCTCAATACAGAACAAAATTTACTCATGAATACCTATATGGAGATATTCTCTTAAACTTTCTCACAGTTGGCAGAAGTGTGACTGATGGATTAATGACCATAACATCTGTACCAAGGTTTAWACAGCAGGTGCAATCTTCACTGGCAGAAAACAGGAAGTTTTTCAGATAATRTACTAATGAACAACAGCTTCAAATAATGAGGTTCAGGACCAAACAAAAAAAGCTGTGTCAGCCACCTTCCCACAATTCTTTTCTGGTTGAGATAAGAAATTGGGTAAGTACCTCATACCCAGGATTTGTGAGGAGGTTTTGTAGCAGTTGGCATGTGATGTATAGAAGGCAATACTTCATGTAAGACAGCAAGGTGCTGCTTTAGCTTGTTACTTTGAGCTGAATTTGAGTTTTAAGTTTGTGAAACCAAATGCAGAYAGGCTTTTTAAAAGCACATTCTTAAATTTCCTGATATTGTAGCATTTTGTTCACTGTGCTTGTCAGCTCTTTTGTGAAATGTTACAACTTGGTTTTCAACTTTGCTGACCTCTTTTGTCTTTGGTTGTCATGTTCTTGTATGAAGTTAGACTTGAATCATCTCTCTGATATTTACTCATAACTTGTATGCCTGTGCTTCTAGGTCTTTGTCTAGAGACAGAACTAACACTGATGTCAAACCAGGGTAAGATACCCGTGTCTGAATAAGCTGTTCCCACTCCCCAAGTTCATTTTGTTTAATGGTCTTGAATTAGAATTTAACTCTCAGCACACTCTTTGCACACGTTTTTCTGCACTRTAATGGTGTGGAGATGGAAAACCTCACTAGGACGAGGGAAGCACAGTTTGTTACTTCAAGGTGAAATAATTCACTATTTGGTGGAAAAGAACATCCCTTCTGATTGGGAACTTATTACTAGAGCACTTTCTCTGGATGAAATCTTGATTTAGTGCCAAATGTGATTATAGGCACCAGTTACGTTTCTGTAAATACAAAATTAAATCATCTTGAGGATCTCAGACATTCATTTTTCAAAGTGCCAAACTCTGTTTTGAATGTCTTTCTTCCTCTCAGTCCCCTTGCAGCATGACTGCACTGCCAAAARGAGACTCCTCTACTGCTGTAATGATTTCCTGACCTGGCAGCAGCCCTCATCCTGGAACTAAGGGGTGGYAAATGCCATACCTGTCATCCTGACATTATAAATAAGACTGGGTTCTGAAAAGGGGTAAAACCATGAAGCTTTCTTTTTTTGGATGGCAGTTCAGAATTTGTAGGAGCAGAAAACTCATCACATGAACAGTTGTAGATGAAAGGTGGGAAGAGATTAATTTTTCTCAGTGAAAGCATCTCRTTTTTCTAACCTTTAGAAGTCAATTGTAACTCCTCTTTGATAGCTATTAGCTTTAGTGCAGGGAAAAAAAACAAAACTACCATTTTCATTCACTTAAAATAAGGGAAAAGAGTACTGCTAGGCAGTTACTCCTTTGTGACCAGAATGTTCTGTGTGTTTTGGAGAAATTAATTCAGTTTTTTGCTACCTAGCAAGCCACTAGCACACAGCACCAGGGCTTGGACAGATAAGTGGCTGCCCACACTGCTGAACTGCTAAAACAGAGACAGTGGTACCTCTGTTGTTTTAGTGCCTCTTCAATTCCAGTCACAATGTACAGCTAAAATAAATAGAACAGACCATCTTACCTAGAGATGAAGGCCTGACTGATAGTTTTTCTTTTATTGTGCTGCGGGGTTGGAAGAAGGGATGTATTGACTGTAGGAACAGCTACTGTCATCCTCTTATGTAACTACTAGAGAGGAAGATTGGATTTCAAAATTCAATTTAGTGCCCTTCAAAAAGAAATRAAATCTAGTGGTGTTCAGCAGAAGGCTGAGGAACCTCTACAAAACTCACCCTTTTTCAGGCTTTTATATTCTCTTGCATGCCTTAAATAGTAGGCAGACTAGATCCACCTAAGCCTCTTCTTTCCTCTGCTCACTAAGAATAAAGAATATGATTTAAACATAATAAATAAGGCTGTATGATTGTGCTGGGTTTGGCTGGGGTACATTTCTTTCACAGGAGTCAGAGCAGCCATGRTGCTGGCTGGGGTTAAACCACAMTTGCCAATGCTGAAAAGTGCCCGTCTTGTGCCTCCAGAACTTGATTTTCTTAAAGCTGGCAGCTGATGTCAGGACGCTGAATTAAGCCAGGCTTACCTTTATCAGCCATCTGTTGTTCCTAATTTGCTGGTTTTTGGCTTTAGAACTCAGCCAAGAGCCGTAGCTTCACTGAGCTGTCTTCAACCCTGGCATATCTCTAACCAGTGCTTGGCACACACAGAAGGCACAGCTCTGGCTTATGTGTGCCTGGCTACAGAGCTGAGAATGTTCTTTGAGCTTTAGCACTTTGTAGCAAAGAAATCARTTTGTTCTCARAATTTCTCRTGTCAGCATTTGGAAAAYAAACATTTGTGTCAAGTGTAGCATCTCCTTATCTGCAGGTTGAGAGCTAGGAAAGGCTTACAAGATGGGGCTGATKTTTTTGCTTGGGGCTTGTTTGGGTTTTTTTTTTTTACAGTACAAGAACCACTTTGTTCCTTCTTCCCACTTGAAATAACTTTGTTTTCCAAGGTTAGAGATGCCTTTCCCAGTACAGAAGCCATCCCTGCCACATCTACTACATAATAGGGAAGGACTTGGACTGCATTGGCATTAGGTGGCACAAAAGGTAGCTGCAAAGTGTACATAAAAGTACTTGAATTGAAWTTATACTCTTGTAAATGGGTGTTATGAGCCCTGAGATATTTTCAGGAACTGGCTGAAGTATTGTTTTTGTTAAATCTCATTTTGGCATGAGTTAATCATTGTGTTATTCAAGTATTCATTTTGCCTTCTGTTCTATGTGGGCCTAGAWGTGTTGGGTGGTTAAGTGTACATCTTATTTTGACAAAATTTATTTTTATATTACATTTTATAAAATGAAGTCGTCAAAAATGTGTAATTTTATGATGCATGACTGGGTGATTAAACACATTGTAACAGCTGCTACTTTGATATTTCCTATACATCTGCCTTTTGTCATGTTGGGATATTTTACTRTAGAAGTCAATAACAACACACAAGTTCCACACTGAACACACAGTTGCTTCTCAAGATAATCTCCACAGCAATGAATTAGCAAAAGGTGTTCTACTGGAGAAGCAAAGCTTACTTGAACAACTGAGAAATGTCAAGGAACAGAAATTAAAATTCAGAGACTCACAGGGAAGGTGCTGTTTGTTTCAAAAGAAACACATAATTTAATATTTACTGCTTGGAGAAGACCCAGTCACATCCAACTGGACACTACAGCAGTTGATCCTTGTGTGTGCTATTTGCCACTGGAGAAATAACTGCTGTTTCTTACACTTCAACAGAACTGGGCCAGTTTCAGTAGTTAGTCTGCTTTATTCAAATGAGTTTACAGTGCAAATGCCTTAGAGCCAATAATAATAARAAAAATTCCATGTATGTTATTTTTATTAAGCATACTGGACAAGTGAAAATCAATCAAGAAGCTCTATTTTTCCAACATAATCATAAAGTTGATTAAACTACTCATACACTTACCACTCTATTTGGCAAACATCCTAAAAAAAGAAGTTACCATAGAAATTGCCCCTTAAAAAGGGCAGGTTTGTCTTAAAAACAATTAAGAGTTAACCAGTTTTTCAACTTCAAAGTTCTGTTCTTTAGGTGAGGAATAAGGGTGCTTTTTTCCCACAACGAAGAAAATTAAGTAATTTAAATAAACTTTTTCTTTAAATAAATTTTTGCAGTGGAATGTAGAAATCAAGCAGCATGGCTTACACTTCCAGAAACTGAAGCATTAGCATAGTAGTGCATTATGCTGATTATAATTGTTCTTTAAAATATATTACTTCGTATTTAACTAAATGTTATTTCTATTCAGTAGAAGGTTGTGGSTATTGGACAGAACAGATAATTTCTTTTGTGCTTTGGCAGCACAGCTGTAGTGAATTTTAAAAATGCAGTAATAAGATAACCCTGATACAGTTAAAATAGAAAGATAACTGGTAATTTTGATGCTGCATCAAGCATTATGCAATATATAACTTTCTATCCAACTGCATTTTAATACCAACGTAAGAAATAGTAACTAAAGCAATAAATGAACATTTTGGCTTTTAGCAACGAGTTCCCCACTTTTGTAAGCTCAGACASGTGCAGGAACTTAACTGAAGTCTCTATTAGTAAGGACAAGAGGAGCCACCAAGGTCCAAAGATAGAGAAGCAGACAAACCCAGCTGGAGGTCATCTTCACCCACACGGCTGGCCACTTACTWGTCATGGTTTTGAAATCTGCATCAGGGCTAAAAAGTAAAGAAGTCCATTAGTAGGCACAGAAAGCACCTCCCACTGTTTCTTGGTACCTCCCATATCAATCTGAAGTGAGGACACTCCTGAGACACTCCAATGAGAGACCCTTGGAGAACACAGTGAGACAACTACATCAGYAATTTCCTGTGGCTGCTTCACAGGCTGTTTTTCTTGGGACCCAATTTCCAAGCCTGCTTGCCCATGCTGATGTGCTGCTCTTCAAGGAATTATTTGCATGAGCTGTGCAATAGACTCCTGGCTGATCTCAAAGTGCATTTGCTGATTTATAAAATGTCCYGGGAGCAGTGGTTCTGAGCTGCAGCAGCACAGGGTATGTCCAAGTGATTCTGAGATGTAGGAAATCACAACTCTGAGAAGCAGCACATAGTGCTGTCCCTGCACATCTTTCCCATGATGAAGAGCCAGTAACTGCAGGCTGGCCTCTAACAAACTACAGGAGGCCACCTAAAACCAATTTCCCATGTATCCTTYCTGCTACTTGTCCAGCTGAAGGACAGCAGCCACACTTTCTGCCCCTGCAGTTCTGAAGCAGTGCCCTGGAGCCACAGCTGCTGACTGTACTGCCTTTTTATATCTTAACTCAGTAGCACTAAGGCACAACTCTAATGCAACTGGCACAGGGACAGAATTTTCACCAGCTGGGCAGGAGTGTCCTATGCACATGGAAACACTGGCACATATAAGCCATCACTTCCCCCCTGGCTCTTACCTGTACCAGTTTGTGAGTGTCATCATGATGTACAGAGAGGCAAGGAAGAGCATGAAGTGGAAGAAGGTGTAGCTGTACTGAACCCCATCCTTCTCATTGTCTGTGACACGGCGCACTTCTCCCTCCTCAGCAGCCCCACTGCCTGTGCCCACTGTCTCCTCCAGCATGGCAGTGTCACTGCCAGACAGTGTCAGCTTGTTCACCTGGCTGTTGCTCGAAGAGCGGATGCTGCAGTGTAACCCAGAGAGAGATGTGGTTAAAAACTCCTTTTACAGTCAGCTGTGTTTGCTAATAAAGCAGGCAATGGACCACAATCAATGTCTGTGACTAGCAAATAGTATTTTTTRAAATCCAGTTGGGAACATAAGGAAATTCCTCAAGCTGTTTTCATCCGAGCTTTTAATTAAGCTAATTAAACAGCATTCCAAGCCCCATATCATAGAAAGGAGTGCTTTGGAAGGGACCCTAAAGATTATCTCCTTCCAACCCACATGCCATGKGTAGGGACACATTCCACTAAATCAGGTTGCTCAGAGCTCCATCCAGCCTGGCCTTGAATACATCCAGGGATGGAGCATCCACTTCTCTGGACAACCATTCCAGTGCYTCACCACCCTCACAGTAAAGAATTTTTAGTGTCTAATCCAAATCTACTCTTTCAGTTTTAATCCATGCCCTCATAAAAAGTCTCTCTCCATGTTCCTTGTAGGCTCCCTTCAAGCACTGGAAAGGCACAATTGGGTCACCCCAAAGCCTTCTTTTCTCCAGGCTGAACAAACCCAATTCTCTCAGCCTTTCCTCACAGGAGAGGTGCTCCATCCCTCTAATCATCTTGTAATACATTCTGTTATTGGGATTGGGCATATAAATCTTATCCTCATCCACAAAGCAGAGCACAGGTTTCTGAGACGGCAGCTGGATGTGAAGAAATGCAGGTACATTTTGCACCAGACCCAGACTTAAACAAAAGAGGCAGAAAAATTCCAATCCTTYATCACTGGATAGTAGTGCAGACCTTACCTGGAATACAAGAGGCAAAGGACAAAGATAACCAGTCCAACAACACTCTGGGCATCCCACCACTGCAGGGACTTGGGTGGAGCGGGAGTGGCCGGTGGGACAGTGACATTGGCTGGAACAGCTGTGGGTGCAGCTATCTGGGTGATGATGTTCAGCAAACTTGGGTTRCAGTTCCTTTCTGAAAGGGATTTCAAGGCAGATTAGAGAGATGAGCTTTGCCAGCATTTAGCTAAGAAAAGATGACAGGTAAGCTTGCAACTTTTCATTTCCTTTAACTGCTGATCTCTCCGGTTCTCCAGAGACAGAAATTGCCTGCAATATTTTTCCTGTCTGTGAGCTAGACAAGGRTATAATAAATAAATAACATCAGAATGCCCTGACACTGTTTCTTTTCTCCCCTCTTACCCCAGTTTAGTTCTGCAAAGAGGCAGTTTGATGGTTTCAGTCAAGTCAGCTTTTCAGCATCACTGGATTTTATCTGGACAGATCAGCAATTCCCACAAAGTGATCTGTAATAACCATCAGCAGCTTCTGCTTGCACACCAAAATATGACTCAAGACAGCATGTTGCTTACCAGGCTCATTGGACATGGCTGCCCAAGTGAGGTACATGGTGTAGAGTGTGATGACAGAGGACTGGAGGAGGCCAGAGCGRGGCTGATGTTCCTGTCCCAAAGCAGAAGAGCAAGCCAAAGTCAAAAGGACAAGTTTTATCTAGAGCTGGACAGTTTTACCCTACTGTCAACAATTCACCAATTGCTAGCATGCAAAACTTTGCTGTAGAACTGCACGAGGCTTAGTTCTATGTTCAAAAGACTGAAAGAAACTCCTGAGAGTAATACAATTTATGCAACTCAAACATGGAAGGAATATGCAAACCAATCCAGCTTTTCTGTGCCCAAGACTCAGTTATGGATTTTTACTGAGTTAATCTCAACCTTTTTAAACAATTTTGTTGATGTGATTCTAGCATGTGATTTGAGCAACACCACAAGTAACATGCAACTTTGCTCTTATATTTAATCAGTTTGCCCATAATTTCAAAGCCACAGTATTAAGCAAACAAATCTCCAGCTATTTTGCTACTCTGTAACAGATTTCTCTGTTCTGCCAGGACCTTCACCACCAAAACCATGCCAGCAGTCCTCCACACAGAAACAAAGCCCAAAACCATGCCAGCAGTCCTCCACACAGAAACAAAGCCCAAAACCATGTTTGCCTCTCTCCAGAAAATATGGCACTAGGTAGTGCAATAGTTTTAGAGCAAGATTTTTTTTTTTAAGTTCCTAACTAGCGTAGCTATGATTGCCAAATTTTAAAGTTCTTATGTCTGACTGAGTTGATACTACACCCTTCTTACTTCCCTGCTTTGTATGTCAGAAGAAAAYAGCAGAGAAAAATAATACCTGGACTTTTGGAAGGATAGAAACAATGGAGACAGCAATGCACAGGATCATGTTAAAGCTAATGAAGAACTTGTTCTCAGTGCAGTCATCAGGCTTCGTGTAGAAAATGTAGAAGAGAACAACAAAAACCAGG